CATTCAGCTCGAATACCAGTTATCGGTGGTAGGCTAACCTACTGTCAATATTCGGTCGTGACTGAGCTAACCACACATTTTTCGGAGTTGAGTAAAAATCTCAGATTTCGCTAGAGTGCCATCCCCAGGGGTTAGGCTTTGTGAACACGAATATCACACCCGTTTCGCGCGAAAGTGGTTATGCCGTGCGCTACAGGCTCTGGCCGCGTGGGAGCCAGTGCGCCTTCGAGAGAAAAGAGAGAGGAAAAACCTTCATAACTCCTTCCAGTGAATCGTTCAGCAAATTCCAAAGGGTAGATTTGAGTTCACCATGTTAAGGGGCGTACAGTGGTGTACACCTCATTGCAAATGGCCGAACTGACCTGTCAATGGTACGGTCCGCGATCAGGTCGAAGTTGGAAATATGGCGTCAGGCGGTTGGTGTGACGAACAACCTTGTACCGGTTTCGCGGCAAAAAATTCTAAGAGAGGGGCGCTATAGCGCAATATAGGTTCAGTGGTTCCTCCTTTTTTCCAGTGACTCCGCCTCCAGTGCCCGGCTTTCAGTGAAAAACGAGATTGCAGGACGAAAAAGCATGAAAATCGTCACTTGTACGATCGTAGAGTTCTTATCGGTGAATCAGCTGTGCGTATGAGGGCGTAGTGTGGGAGATAGAGTTAATTGGGCACGTACAAACTGGGATCAAAATGGGGTTCTATCTAGGGCAGGTGGCATGTTTTTTTGTGCTTTTCTTCACTGTCGAGTTACTCAACGCCTTGTCGTCTATATGAAAACCCCTAATCAACTATCTGAGATGGCGAATAATCGCAGGTTCTGCCTTTTCGCTAGTCAGCTGTAGCGCCCTCAATTTCAGCAAAGACTTGATCACTTTGAAATTCCGAGCATGTATCATGAAGAGCAGGTTATTCCTTGCCGAGCGTCGGAGAAGCTGCCAAGAGACAAACTTTCAACTTTCACACAAATTTTCATGTAAGAAAAGACGCCACCTTTTATGGCTTAACCGAAAGTATCTATCTCACGTGGTGGCATGTTTCATTTTCCTGATAGAAAGAGGCGGGGGGGGGGCAAACTTCACCCTAATAAGAATAGTCGGTGGTGATGGATGAGCTCCAGTCTGTCTACACATGCATAACTCGTAGAATACCCCACGTTTCGAAGTTGAGTCAAAGTCTCAGTTTTGGCTAGAAACGTGTGTACAGGGGTAATTTGACCCGCTGAACATGAATATCACACTAATTTAGTGCAAAAACCCTTGTGACATGTGCTACGACGGGTACAAGCACAAGCACCCTTTGAGTCCACGGGGGTGTACACTACACTGTAAGAAGCTGATCGCTGGTCCTTCTTACAGGCGAGAACGGACGAGCAGGGATGTTCAAGCTTGGCTGGCCATGTTCCTAGAAAATGCAAAAAGCTGTAAACACATGGGGACTGATCCCGCGACCGCTTCCTTATCACACCCGACCACTCACTACCTGTTGCGCCCCACTGTCACGTTTCCGTGTCTTCTCCTCATTACACAATCACTGCTCCTCGTTGTCTTGGTCGAACCATGAAGTAGAGATATGTGAAGTCTGGTGAAGCCATGATGTGATACCACTCAAAGTTTGTACAAACTACCGGCCAACTTGTAAAGAATAACTGTCAACCCTTGCAAAGCAATGAACACCACGACGTGAATCAACGAAAGTGCAAAGTCCCCCCCCCCCCACGTCGCCGAAGTGCGCGTTCTTTATCCCAAGCTTTCCATCGAAAACCCATTAAAAGTATTTCTTTAATACTGGGAATATTTAGTGAAGGTCCAGTACAGCTTCGAAACAATGATGAGTGCTCTTTATTGCTGTTCACCGCTTCAATGTGTTGCTTCTGAGAAAGTTATAGCTCTCTAAAGAAGGGTTAGTCATCCAGAGAAGGAGTACATAAAAAATAATCTGCTCCGTCGATTTTGTTGTGGGCGCAAATTTCAAACCTAAAAGTGCTTGAATGGGTTCCACTAGGACTGCTTCCGGGAGGGGTCGTATTAGCGCTCTCATTCCACCCATCCCGATCGTACCCTACCAGCGAAGTAGACGACGAAGCGCTTGCCAGCTAGCTATGGGTGTCTGATTTGACCTAGTTCAAAGAAAAAGATCTCGAAACACCGAGATTGATGGGCTGCAGAAACCTATTCAAGCTGATATTGAAACAGAATTTTACTTCTTTGCGAAATATTTAGAATTAAAGGAATCTCCCACTAATCTCCCATGAAACCTTCCACTAACAAATCTTCGTTGGCCTCGATCTACAGCATGCCCCATTTGACGAGAGACAACATTCTTTTATTAATACTTCTTAAAAAAAGCAATCATGACAACGGTAATGGATGTCTGCCATTGGGTTGAGCAAAAAGCCGCTACAACCAATTGAACATGACGTTCAACAACTCGTAAGAAAAAAGCCTCGCTCTTTCACTGCTACCGGACAAGATTTCTAGGTGGGATCTTCATTTGTTCTTATGATGATCGAAGAACTTTGAATAAATTAAATTTTAAGCTAATTTATTTTGGAAAGGTTTTGTAAAGTTATTGGCGACGTGCAATCGTAGACTGACGCGGTGATCTTGAGCTTTGTTAGAAGATTC